AGCATGGCCGTCCCACTCCACACCCACTTCCCCGAGGCTCTCTCGGAACTCCTCCACCCTACCACGTACAGAACAGATACCACGAAAACAAAATGCGAGTAGAATATAGAACGCAGAAGACACGCGCGGGCGGGAAGGGGGGGGGTCTGGAGCACACGATGCTTACAAAAACGACTGACGCGATTAAATTCGTCAGACGGAATGCGCGGCGGCCGATGCACCCTAAAAGAAATACACAGGCACACATGCATTCGAACGCACACACACACGACCCCTGCGCTCCCCGCCCGTCGGTAGAACCCATATATCTGAAGTGTGTTTGCGTTATTGATCCCGCTATTAGACCGACAAATATTCACTTGGTCAGCCGGCTAGCGCGGCCGACGGGAATTGAAAAAACACGCACAGACGCACGCAGAAGCATTTCGTGGTTCAACAGCACGAAACTGAGACTGGCGTCTTTTCATTGGTCCCGGATGGCGCGGTCGATGCCAATAAATCAAAACACGCACAGACACACACACACAGAAGCATTTTCACAGAAGCATTTTCGCGGTTCAGCAGCACTGAGACCGACGAATTTTCATTGGCCAGCCGAAGGGGGCGATCGACGCAAAATAAAATAAAAGACACACGCGCACGCACCAACCTCCTTTACCTGTCCTACCTGTACACAAGCTCCTTGGTGGCCTCGACCTTCTCCAGCTGCTCCCGGAAGAAGCCCGCCAAAATCTCCCTGCTCTCCGTGGCGTTCACCTTTCCCTCGCTCAGCAGCTGCATCTGTCTCCTCGTCTCCTCACCGATAAAGGTCTGGGAGGAGGCCATCTCGTCCATCTGTAGCGGTGATGCAGCAGCAGCAGCAGCAGCAGCAGCAGGAGGGCACATCGTCGCTCGAGAAACTCTCGTGTCGGGGGGGGGTACGTAGGAGGGGGCCCCCGCCTGATCGAGCCCCAGCCGAAAACCAAAAGCAAAAATGAAAAAGCACTCTGTTGTCTGAGGTTTGAAACCGTTCCGGTCTCCGCTCAGCACTTTCAAATATCCGTACTATACTATACTATACTATAACACTCCAACTGACGCGGACGGCTACTATACCACTCCAACTGACGCGGACGGCTACTATGACACTCCAACTGACCCGGACGGCTACTATAACACTCCAACTGACGAGGACGCCTACTATAACACTCCAACTGACGAGGACGGCTACCACGGACAACTGCCCACAAAGGGGTAAACCTTTCTAGAACACGAAAACTTCAGAACCCTCCCCAAAGCAGCCAACACATGGCCAAACCTTCTGCTCGGCGACTTGCTGAGCCCAAGTGAGGGTGTCCGCCAGCCCTCTCTCGCCACTCAGCCCCGGCGCCTTGGGGGCCTTGGAAGTCTCGCCGCCCGCGCCTCCCGCTCCTTGTCCTTCTCCCTTCCACCGCTTCCACAGCTTGCCGACGACACGCCTGCCGATACTATCGTCTTCACCGTCACTGCTAGCGGTGGTGTTGGCGGCGGCGGCGGCGGCTCCGCCGCCGCCGGTGGCGTCGTTGCTGCTGTCGAGCAGGTTAATAAGGTTCGTGGCGGCGGTGGCGGCAGCGGCGGCAGCGGTACCCCCCACCTTCCTCTCCTCCTCCTCACCACCACCACCGGAGGTGGCAGCAGCAGCAGTGGTACCCGCCGCCGTTGCCGTTGTCGTCAGTACCCCCCCCACGTCGGCGGAGGCCGGCTCTGCGGGGCCCCCGAGCCTCAGCAACCCCGTCACCGCCGACAGGATCTCGTCCGCCGGTCGCGCTCCGACAGCGGAGCCCCCGCTCTCGACACCGCCGCCGTCTTGCGAGGTCGCGGCGGCAGCGGTTGCCGCACCGTCAGGAGCCGTGTCGCCGCTCTTCAGCTGCTTGACGCCACCGCCGGCGGCGGAGGCCGTGGTGGTGTCCTGAAGGTCCTTGAGGAGCTCTCTGCTGGTATCGAGAAGCTTGTTCATCGACTCAAGCATGTGCACTTTTTTTTTTTTTCGCGGCGATTTGAGTGAGGCGGGCGGGGCACACGGGACGCGAGACGCCGCCAGCGGCCAGGTGGGGTGGGGGGGGGGGTCAGTGAATCGCGATGGTTATAGGGGGTCATGCAGCGCGGTTGCGCATGCTCGGATATCCCTACTGCTGATGCCGAGAGACACGTGGTACTCGGGAACTTGACCATCTGCGCTCCTCTACCGGCCGTTGGATGCTGAGCCGAACACGAAATCGCGAAGCATGAAACGTACCAATAAAACTGGCGTCACGTAACGTCATGCACTTCCCTACACCAGCAAGAAAGGCCGCACGATGGACAGGTAGACGGAGTTGGGAGGGGGAGGGGGGGGGGCTCCACGAGTGGAGTTTAACTGGCATGATGAATGTGGTGAGCCCCCCGCCAAGCAATGGGCTGGTCCGCCACACCCCCTGACCTTTCTGCTGCGCGAGGGTAACCGGGATCGGCTGCACCCTTTCCTTCTTCCAGCCGGCGGTAGTTTCCCGCACCGCGGCCATGACGTCATCGACGGCCGGGAGCACCGCCCTCTGGGTGACGCCCGAATGATCGAGGTCCTCCTGGAAACAAACATAAAAAACAAATGAACACACACACACGGACAAAATATTCATCGGCAACACTACATAGCGGTAGAACCAACTTTCCTTGAGGCGTTTTCACGAAAAGCGTTCACGAAACGACGAGGGCAACGCCGCCAAAATATCGGCGTACATAGATACTGACTCGCTTCTCGAGTACGCTGAGGGAACAACAGAGAGAGAGAGAGAGAGAGAGAGAGAGGGAGAAGGGATAAGGGGCCGCACGACGAAACGCAGCAACGTCTGTCTCGATTCTTTCCTTTTCAAAGAAGACGAGGGAAATGGGATCAACACCACTTAGAAAATTATCACTCGGGATCGGGAAAACACGTTGTGTAGCCCAAGAAGGTGGTAGAAAGGACGCTCTACAAGAAAAGGTGTGAAAGCATTCAAGAATCCAGCCTCGGGGGGTGAATACACACATACTACCGTAACTGCCTAGCGAGAAACGTCGCACCCTCTCCTAGATCGACTCTCGAACATAGCCCGATTGCTCCGCTACCAAAAAAGAGGGTGCCACTGCCAGAACAGGGGGGGGCGTTTCGGGGGAACAAGGCTTGGTCAACGTTTCCCTCGCACCTAATGGTCGGTTTTCGCACCCTCTCGACTGTGCGGAGAAATCTAGCTGTAGCTGTTGAAAAACAGGGCCAAGGGGAGTCGCGATCGATCCCTCCCATAACTTCGGCGCTTCTTTTGCGGAAATGCCCACTCCGTTAACTACGGTTATTTCGCGGCGAAACCATATTTCAAAGAACAACCAGGAAATGTCTGGTATTGATGGACAAGAGCAGAAGCAAGCGTGAACGGTGCTGCTACGTTTAGCGTGGCGACGGAGTGCTCCTCCTCCTCCTCCTCCTCCACCACCACCACCACCACCACCACCACCACCACTACCTTTTCTTCTA